GAAGCCCCTGGCCAGCAGGTCCAGGGCTGCTGGCCCCCCAGCCCAGGCCACCCTTGCCACCACAAAATGCGAAGACGCGGACAGCAGATGCCCAGAGGTAGCGGAGCAGCCTCGGCACAGGCAGACCCACCCCAGCCGGAGTCCCGGGCGGTTCAAACTGGGTGGATGCAGATTCACACATAAGGAACCAGATTGCTGAGGAATGAGAGATGACTGAAACCTCTTGGACAGGAACGCTCTGGGCTCAGAAAGCTGCCAAACATGCTTCGGTTATGGACAGGAGCCCAGATCCAACCAGGGACAAAACCCCCTGAAATAACAGGCTTGTTGGGGGGGGAGCGAAGCTGGAGCAACCAGAGTTCGTGTGAAGCCGACAGCCCAAGCGCGGCACGGCAGCCGGGGACAGCGAGGTGCTCTGCAAAGGATGCAGGAGGGATGATGGTGCTTGGCCTCCTGCACGCTCAGCGCCAGCCGGATGGGTTACAGGCACGGAGGGGACAGTGACCTCCTGTGCTCTGGACACGGGAGAAAGGGACAGGCAGAGCCGTCCTTGGGCAGCTGTCTGCCATCCCGCAGGAGTGCCCAGCGCAGGCACAAGGGATTAAGGTCATTTCTTCGCACCCTTATGCCACCCCGGCAGGAGAGGGACGAGCCACGTCCCAGCCATGTTAAGCAGGGGAAAAGCAGGAGAGGGACTGAGGCCCAGATGCACTCCAGTGTTTAAGTTTCCAACTCTGCTTAATAAATCAGAGCATAAAGACCTCGGTGGCAGCGTGACAGCTCTCAGCCGCCACATTTGAAGGCTGTAACCGAGCTGAAAGCTGATCCCAGGTCCCCAGTGGATAAGCCGCTGTGTCATCTCTTCTCTGCAAGAAACTGCCTGTACAACAACCACTGTCTTGGCCGGCACGCCGGGGAACGAGCCCAGGAGCTCCGGAGTGGGAATGTTACTCCATCCAGCCGGAGCTGGGGAGCCGGGCTCCCCTCTCCTCACTGAGAGGTCTGCATAAGCACTTTTCCTGATGAAGTGTCCTCAAATAAAGTAACAACCCTGAACCTCCGCACACAGATCACATCTCCTGGTGCCGGGCTGCGGTCACCTCCGGGGAGAATGTGACAGTCACTGACAGCCACAGGATAACAGGTCAGGGAACCGAAGCGGAGCTCCCCGGTCTGAAGAGGAGCTGGTCTGATGGGAGGGAGATGCAGCCTGGCCTGACAGCGGGGATCAGCTGCGAAGGGGATTTATGTGGGGTGCAGGAGGGAGGGGGGCAGTAACGCAGCCCTGAGGCTGCTGCAAAACTGCCCCTGCACCCTCTACAGGGCATCGCACACCCGGCACGGCATGGCACGGCACCCACCACCGGCCATCCGGCTGTTTCCGG